TTTTTTTTTTTTTTTTTTAGTACGTTATTTTCTACTGAGGGTATATACATTTGTGATAATATTAAGTTGGCCTAATAGCATAAATACCAAATTTTGTCTTATTGTTTCGAAAAAATTTTGCATGCGAAATAATTTAAATCTTCATTGATATTTCCATGTTCCTCACAATATTCGTTTTCCTCTTTCTCTTTTTCTAGAAAAAGAGAAACAACAAATTTTAGACGGCGGGAAAAATCATTGTGAATAAAATGGCTTTGCCATACGCATTGGTTGGTTAATAATTGAGCTTTTTGAAGTCTATTTCACTCCTAACATATGAAGTGTACATAAATATTTGAAGTGTGAAAGTTATCTTATGTGTAAAGTATAAGACAGTACCTTTTGCAAAATAAGTAATGTAAATTTCATTGTGCCAACTGCCAATAAGATGGAGAGACAAATTAATGATGCTATTTGGCTGTCCTTCCAAGTGACGTCTATTTTGATAGATAGTAATTGGACCTAGACGTGGTCACGGGCCACCCGGCCTGGCCCGGACCCGGCCCGGTCAAATCCATTTAACATGGATTTGGGCCCGGCTCGGATTCAACTTGGCCAGTCCAGGGCCTTCTTTTTGTCGACTCTGGCCCATCAGGCCGGCCCGGGAAAAACAAATTGGTTTTATCTATTTATTGTTTCTTTTTTATACGGGCGGTCCAGACCGTGATGGTTCTGGGTCCATGTAACCCAACTCTTCGGCCCGGCGGGTTAATTAATAATAGTGGAGAGAAAATCGTCAGTGTTGTTAATTCATGAATCGAGCAGAGCTGGCCATGGAATTAAATTGTCGTTATGTAAAAAGATGAATATATTCATTTGATGGTTTGGCTCGAATCGAAGGCCTAAAGATTAAACAAAAGAAAAAAAAAATAAACAGAGAACCCTTAAATTTTATACTTGTGAATACAAAGGGAGATTACACAAATATATGTAGCTATTAATAACATCATCATTTAAAGTGACGTCTGTTACAAATAGGGTTTGACACAAATCACGCCAATAATATTATGTTTGAAACACTAGTAATCAGTCCTTTGATGTGTACAATTAATTTAATAGTACTAAAAAGAGATATAGTTAAGATGAATAATTAAGTACACATATTATATTATGAATTGATTTTGATTATTTACAAGATATTTAAGTGTATAATTATTAATATGACAGGGTTGTTTGATGAGAATTAACATATATAGAAGAGGCAGGCAGTAGTTAGTGTGAGTTCCAAAGATGGTTCGAGGAAGTTGAAGCATTATTTTGTTCCTTGCTCGAATCCGTGGAGACCAAGTTGGAGTCCTGATGAGTTACGTTGAATGCATGAGCGTTGTCTTTGGAAATCTGGTCGTGACTCAATTGAGATGCCACAAATTTGTCGAGCACCCTCCAATCTGTCACCTGATCCTCCGACCCTTGGTTGTTGTTGTTGTTGTTGTTGTTGTAATCCGGTTGGAAAATGCGGTTGTCATCATTATTATTGATGTTGATGTTATTCAAAGATTCGAAAGAGGGCCCGACAGTAGCTTGGAGCATCTTATTAGGGATTTGTAAAAGCGGAAGTTGATGATGAGGAAAATGATGAGGGTACTGCATCTGCATCTGCATCTGCATTTCCTCCTTATTGTAGGAGGGTTGTTTGGGTGATTCCATCTGATCTGGCATCAACGAGTCGTACCACTCGTGCTCGCTTAGCTTTTGGGTCGATGCTATCCGTTTCTTGAAAACCCTGCACACCACCCATCCTTCTTCCTGACTGCTATTCCCATTTTCATCACTCTCCAGTCGATATTCGTGCATTATCCAATCCGACTTCTGACCATTAGGGGCTCTTCCTTTATAGAACACCAAAGTTTTCCTCATCCCAATCAAATCGTGCTTTGAATAAATCGCCTTATCACGACCCGTTGCCTTCCAAAATCCAGCACTTGTGGCTCTATTTGTGCGAGTACCCGTCGGGTATTTCTTGTCTTTGTGGCTAAAAAAGTACCAATCGCTTTGCTCTTCTCTTCCTAATCTGCATAGCTCTATCCAAAATCAACAACAAAAAAGTATATATCAGATGCATTTATTGTTGTCTACCTACTACTTAAGGCTAAATTTCATTTTTAGTACAATGTGTTGGGCGTCATCAAGAATAGACCACTAAGTTATCGTTTTAATAAAAAATCGTACAATAGTCAACATGTACAAAAATGACAACAGAAAATATCACTTTTAAGTACACTATGTTGGTTACTGTACGAAATTTAATTAATATGGCAATTTGGTGGACCATTCTTATTGATGTCTGATATGTTGGACCTTTTTCGTAAATTGACCAACATAGTGGACTATTTTTTGAAATTTTGCCTACTACTTAATGCACCAAATATTTTTATCTTATCTTTCTCAACTCAAACATGCTTCACCTTGAAGATCCCATGGCTCGATTTTGTAAAGATCGACATCTTTGATCACGTCCAAATCAATATTCCTGGATGTAACCTTTCTCCGAAGATAATAATCGACCAGTTCTTCATCCGTGGGATGGAACCGGAAGCCCGGAGGAACGTGTGTCAATGTATTCATACTTATTATTTAACCTAGCTCACACCTGCAAAAAAATGTGAAACAAATGAACAACTACATATATCATTGTTGTGAATGTAATTAAATGCTTTATAGATTCATCAACTATTGTTCCAAATTGAATTCAACACAAGGATTCATCATACTAAGCATGTGATACGACAATATTATATGTATGGTGCAAATTAAATGATTTTAAATGTCTGTTATATACATACATATTTATATATAATTCTATATTAATTGTCCCGAATATATAATAAAGCAAATTATAGAAAAATAAAAAATTGATTGGTGCAATTAAGGTTTGTGGCGTAATTTGCAAGTCAGTTATACTGATTTTAAAGAAAAAATAGTTTAATCATAGCATTCTATATTTGGACCACCTCACTTTATGTAATGAACCAAAACAAGGCGTGAATTTTATTTCTGGAAAGCCACTTATTTACTATAATGATGATCACTGTCATCAGGCAAATTCAATACACGAGATTTCCACTAATTAAAAACAAAAAAAATGGAACAATTAATTTACAGTAATTCAGATTAATTAATTTGCATTAATCTATCTATACTTATATAAAGAGTCATCATATTTATTCAAATTAGTAGCAAAAAAATAGGTCAGCATTTAATGCAACCATAAATAGTAGTTTTATTATTTTTCTTATTTTTTTCTTTAAAAATCATACGATATAATGTATAAATACGCTTTAATATAATCATAAAATTTAATCATACAATTTATTTTTTTTTCTTTAAAAATACGCTTATGTATACTTTTTGTAATAAAATTGAATAAACTGTGTTACTTAAATATCCAAATAATTTAAAAATTTAAATGTTTAAATTAATTGATAAATAATTTACAAATTTCTATTTTATTAACGTATGTAATTTTATTTAAAATGATTTTAAATATACCAAAATTTATTTAGAAAATCGTATCGATCCTACCAGTTCAACCGACTGGTGTTGACGGATTCAATAGCAAATATTTTATTCAAGTGAATTAGACTGATTATAAACTGGTTTTCGGTCCATCCGGTCGGGCTGTGTCCAACACGGTTTAATTTAAAAACGTTAGGTAAATCTTGATTAGTTTATTTGTATATTTAATTTATAACACAATCGTAATATTGTTTTCTCGTGCATCGCACGGGCCACGCACTAGTATAATATAAATGCATGAAATGTGCGTATGCTACCCGACAAAATCGTGTTCCAACCATGGTTTCAACCCAGCTGCCGGGAGCTCGAGTCGTTGTAAAGTGAAAAAAATTACAGAGAAAAGAAGAAATTGAAATGAAAAATGATTCTTGTCAACTATCGAGCAATAAATTAAAATCTGCACTTTTTTTTTCGGAGCATTTAATTTAAATAAAAACACTGATAATTAATGAATAATAAACAAACCTTGAGATTCAGCAATTCGATCTTGCACTTCGTGAACAAGTATTACAAGTCCCGAAAACCCAATTTAATTAATGAGCAAGGAAACAAAAGTAGGGGACAAGAAAAGAACAAACACATCAGGAGAATAAAAGATGGTCTCGGGACTTGAAACCCTAAGCAAGCAGTCACGCGGTAATCTCGCAGTTGTTGGCCCGGCCCGATATTATGTGAACAATAAAATAGGGTTTCGTTTGATAGTAGAAAATAGAAAAGAAGATGGAGAAAACCCTACTATCTATATATATACATACTTATATGGGATGGGTGGGTGAGGGGAAGAATGGAATGGTGGGGGAAGATGGGTCTTAAATATTAATAAGAGAGAGAGAGAGAGAGAGAGAGAGAGAGAGAGAGAGAGAGAGAGAGAGAGAGAGAGAGAGAGAGAGACCTAATAATGATGAAACGTTTAAGTATAGATTGATAACTAGCTTACATAATTTATTATTTATAATTTTCTTTTATTTTTTTTATTTGTCGTTTTAAGAAACAATACGCTATTTAAGAATTTTTTTTGTTAATATTACCCTATTTAATGGATCTTATAGGAAACAATAGATATGAGATATGAAAAGACACTGTGCATTAGATGGAGAGTTAAAAATAAAAAAATAAAATAAATAGTCAAAACGACATTTATTTAATTAATGATCAAATAGAATTAACAAATAATAAAAATAGGAAAAAATATTTTATTCTCTCTCGCTGTCAATACTGAGCTAAATAGGTGGGAAAGTGT